CCCTGGGATGGGGCTGAGACACCTCCCTGACACACAGGGGGACAGGGCATTTCTGACCTTGGCACTGGTTTGTTTTCTTTTTTCTGTACTATTGCATTTGTATTTTTAATTTTCCTATAAAAGAACTGTCATTCCTATTGTCACAAGCCCCTTAATTTCAAAATTAGAACAATTTGGAGGGAGAGGGTTTCCATTTTCCATTTCAAGGAAGGCTCCTGCCTTCCTTAGCAGACACCTGGCTTTTCAAACCAAGACAGCTGGAAACGCTCCCCTGGAAGGAGCAATCAGCAGAGAGAGCATAACAACCCTGCGAGGACAGGAATTGCTGCTTCAGATTTTATCCCAAGGAGTTTTGGTGCATGCTGGAATAAGCAGCAAGGCTCTCAGGCTTGGTTTTGCAAGCACTCACCGTCGCTGGGAGGGCAGAGCCCGCAGAGGATGTTCATCAGCGTCGTCTTCCCGGTGCCGCTGTGGCCCAGCAGCGCCGTGATCTGCCCCTCGTAGATGTCAAAGGACAAATCTGCTCCAGGGCACAGCCAGAGGAGGGGTCAGGGTGGGACCCCCACAGCCAGCTCCTGCCCCACTCAATCCCCGTGCTCACATTCCCACTCTGCCTGGGGACAGTCCCACACCACTGGCGGGTGGCCACGTCCCAAAGCCACCAGAGAAAGGAGGTGACAACATCAGGGAGGTGGGGCTGGGGAGATTACATCCCTACACGGGCACTGGGAATGGGGGTGATGCCAGCAGCTTTCCTTAGGGATGAAGGGCTGGTTTTTGGGGTGCTGCTTTGTGTGAGAGAGGACACACACAAGCACATCTGGCATTCATGCTCCAGGGCCCCACCCCTCCAAAAGAAACCAAAACCAGCCTGAACTGAAACCCAAAAGATCCCTCAGCAACTCAGCCACTGCTCCTCTGCATGCCAGCAGCAGCTAAAAAGCTGAAATGTTCTTACTTCTGAGAGCCTCCACGGTTTCTCCCTTTTTCCTGAATGTTTTCTGAACAGAGCTGATTCTGAAAGAAGACACGTCATGGCATAAATTATTTCAGCAGCTTTACATGGCATTTTCAGTCATCAACACTCAGCAACAATCACAACAAGCCAACCAGACTGAAGTGGCACCAGATGTGTTAAAAATCCATGGGGACAAGTCAAGAGACAGGACAGGTTCTCCCAAAACTTTGCCCATCTCCACCCTGGCATTAGAAGGCTTTTCCTGGCCACCTTCTAAGGTATTGCCTGTGATGATAAATTGAATTATTTCAAATATAAGTCTCTTTCACACGGTGGAACACTGCTCTAGAGGCTTCCCAAGCTAGCAAAGGGAACAGCTATTCCCCAGCAGTTCCACAACACAACGGGAGACTCCACAGATGTGACATGGAAAAGAGGGGATAGCAGAATGGACTCCAAAGATGTTATTCCTGACAGCTCTTGATCAAAATCAGGTAAAAGGAAGCAGGTATTTTTCTTTTCAAGAGAGGTAAAAACCTTCATTCCAGCCCTGCTGTTTTGCCAAATGAAAAGAACAGCCAGTTTACCTGGAGGCACCAAATCAAGGATGGATTTTGGAAGGCTCATCACCCCAAAAATGAGGATGGTGAGTGGATTATGGAGGGTGAGTAATGGGGAGGAGAATGAGTATGAAAGCAAATAAAACTTGCACACGGAAAGATGGCAAGACTGTGTGAAACTGCTGGAGGGAAGATGTGGAAAGAGCCTGGGGTGGATGAATAATGCAACAACAGCCACCATGTTCTCAGGGGAACATCAGCATTAAAACTGGACTCCTGAACCTGTAGATAATAAAAACACCTTCCACTACTAAAAAAATAACTGTGTGTCTTGTCCATGTCTAACAGAAGATTACAAGAAGCACAACCCCTGTCCTTAAGTGGCTCTCCCTGGCTGCAGAGCACTGAGGATGGGGGTGAGGAGTGCAGGTTCTGCAGTCCCCGTGCTGCTGGAGCCCCAGCAGTGCTCTTCAGACCCCCCCGGCAGGGCAGGGGCTGCACCTGATGGCTTCCTTGCCCTGGAATTCTGCAGGCACGGGCTCCACGATCTCACTGCAGCTCAGGCTGCCGTTGGTGCTGCTCTCGTAGAGCTCCTTGTAGTTCTTCCTGTGCTTGGACCAAAAGGAGGGCTTCATGAAGAAAAAGGGCGTGCGGCGCAGGCCAAACTCCCCTGGGGACAGGACAGAAGGCAACTCCTGAGCAGCAACCACAAATATTCTGTATTATAGCCTATATTCTAGAATATTCTATAATATTCTGAAATATTCTATAATATTCCATAATAATATAATGCAAAATAATAATATAATATAATATAATATAATATAATATAATATAATATAATATAATATAATATAATATAATATAATATTATAATATAATATAATATAATATAATATAATATAATATAATGCAATATAATATGCAATATAATATGCAATATAATAACATATAATGCAACATAAAATAATGCAATATAATAAAACAGAATATATAATATGTTACATTATGTTATATATTACATATTATATATAATATAAAATACCATACATTATATGATATATGATATATGATATATGATATATGATATGATATGATATTATAATTATGTATATTATATATATTATATATCATATAGATGTATCATATGTTATACAATATCATAGATTAACTATAATATGAAATATGGTAGATGTTATATTATGATATTTATATTATATAATTATATCATATCAAAATCATGTTATGTTACATTATGTTATATATTACAAACCTCAGCTTTGGGCTTCCAGCAGCAACCACAAATCGTATCTATTATATTACAATATTACATAAACCTCAGCTCTGGGCTCTCAGCTCCTCCCACCGCCAGCCCACACCTGTTCCTGAGGAATTCCATCAGCCCAATTTCCATTTCAGCCACCATTCCCCATCCCCACTGCTGGCAGTCTCCACTTCTGCTGGGTATTTAAATAAATGTGCAAATCTCCTTTTATTGCAGAGAAATCCCCAGTGCTGAATGAGCAGTGACTTCAACGTGGCAGAGAGGAGAGAGGGCTTGGAGGTGAACAGAGCAGAGGGGTTAACCTGCCTTTCCTCCCAAGATTAACAACTTTATTCTGTGTTTTAGTCTCATTTTCTTCTGCCACGGGGAGAGATCTGGAAGAGGAAGAGCAGGCTTTGATTTCCAGCCCTCCAAGAGGAAACTGGAAAGGCTGAGGTTGTAGTTAAATCAGGAAGTTTTTCCTCTACAAAGAGGGGAAAATTAAGCTTTTTAAGGCCCCCTCCTCACACCTCACACTTTTGACAGAATATAAATGATTTCAGCCAGATGTGTGAAATTCAACGTGAAAACAGCATCACCTCCTTTCTCCAGAGAATTTAGGGAGGAGATGCCACCAGCCTGGGGGGCTCAGGATTGCAGGATGAGCCTCCCAGAGCCCAGTTTCTGCCAGGAACTCACCTGGCATCACCTGGTCAAGGTAAACAGCTACAAGCAGGTAAAAGATGCTGTCCAGCACCAGGAGAATCAGAGAGATGCAGAGTGGGTAAGGACCAGCATTGATGTTTGCAAATGTTGCCCCATCCTCATAATCCTCCAGATGCATGACCTGCAGGGACAGATCTCACACACCAAAACGGCAAAACAGCATAGCACAAAAGAACAATCCCTAAATTTGGCAAAAAACGTGGCAAAAAAACCCTAAAAATAATGAGAAATTATCAAAATGGACACAAAGAATAACACAAAGCTCCTTTATGGTGCTGGATATTAAACTGCCATTTAAAAAAAGCATTTTCCCCACCATCAGATATTTTATTTTATTAAAAATATCTACTTAAAATGCTCATCAGGGGCTGTTGATAAATGGTGCATGGCTGCTGCTGCAGGGGCAGGTGGGGATTTACCTGAGCAACACCAATCAAGAAGCTGCACTGACACAAAGGGCTGAGGATCCACACGAAGGATTTGGGGAAATCCTCCAGCAGGACGATGTTGAGGCCCACGAAGCCAAAAACCAGAGTTGCCAGGAACTCCACTATCCCCACGTGCTTGGACTTCTTAAACAGAGGGGTCAGCATCAGGGCAAAGAAAACCTGAGGGCAGAGGGAAAATCAGACAGGAAAGTGCTCTAATAATAACAGTAGTGATGATAATGATAATGATATTAAAAAATGATAATAATATAGAAATTGTGTAGAAAAACTATGGGAAAATACCACAGCTGCCTCTGACCATCATGGAATTTATACCACAATATAATTTTCCTGGTGTAGTCACTACAGCACAGATTCATGGAATCATTTTCAGCTGGAAAATACTTTCAAGATCAAGTCTAACTGCTCCTCTTATCAACCCAGACAAGCAATTGGATACACAAATACATTTATGATGTGGTTTTTATCATTCTCTGACAATTTATTAGGCTCTTTGCATTAAACTCTGTAGTAACAGGAAATGTTTTGAAGAGGACCTGGACTGCAGAATGGTTCTGTGGAGGGTTGAAAACTCAAAACCTGATGATTATAAACTCAGATATTTCAGGAGGGAAAAGCATTTTTCATGGCAATGGGTGACACCTGTACAACTGTCATTACTGAAGATCAAATCAGTACACAGAAGCTTGGTAAGTTTAAAAGAGAAAAAGGGCTAATTTTATTTCTGACCGTGCAATATATAGAATTCTAAAAGTGACAGTGGATTGGAGGAGGAAATTACCACCTCCCCAACCACACTGGTCAAACCAACAATCATTAATTCTCTCTTCCCACAAAGAAGAATGCAAAACAATCATTATTTACATGAGCAGTGTGCAAGAACTCCAGTAGAAATATGCAAACATCAGGAGGTATAGAAAACTTTTAAAAGAACTTTAAAACTTTTAAAAGAACTATAAGACAAAATTTAACACTTTTACAAATCAGGGCAACATACCACATCCTAAAAACAGGAGAAAACCCAAGGAAGGGATGGGACAGCTCAAATTCCCAGCACTGCTCAGCCCCCCAGAAACAACAAATATTTGGGCAGAGGGAACAAAATCAGGGGGGAAGGGAATAAAACAATGAAACCCCCAGGGATGGGATGGCTGAGCTGCTCAGGGCCAGGAATACTCACAGAGGAGGTTCCATAGAGGAAAAAAAGGAGGAATATGACAAAGGCACTGCTCTGGGGGAAGAGGGACGAGGCCGTGGCGATCACGGCCATGAGGATGGACATGACAAAAATCAGGCTCACGTAGAGCAGCACCCAGGACAGCCTAGGGAGAAAAAAGCAGAGAAATCAATGAATCCCCAGCCACACAAACAGCAAAACCCAGCACTCTTTATTATTCCAGACAGACTTCTGCCTCAAATTAATTTCTAACTCTATGTCTCTATGCCAAGCGTGCAACAAAACCTAAATAAAACATTCCGGGGTTGTTCTTGGCACACAGCGAGACCCAGGGCAGCTGAAGATGCACAGTCAGGTGATTCACCTTTATTTTTTGCATAATTAATTCCCTAGTATAGGCAAAAGAGGGTAACAGAGTCGTAGGTGTCAATAATTCAAGAAATTCTGTTTAAAATTTAATACAGGCTGCTGGGCAGGGTAATCAAATCCTGCTCTGTTGAAAAACAGAGCTGTGAGTCTGGGAGCAACTCTGACCTCAGCAAACAGGGGTGGTTTGTGTTCAGGTAGCCAAAAAAGACACATTTTCTCTAAACAACTAAAAAAAAAAAATATCATTCCAACCACCCCAGGTGGCTGTTTCAGTGCAGATGTGAAAACCCTGCCAGAAAGGGCAAAGCAAAACCTGTTTTTATCCCCTCAGCTATCAATGATTTCAAATTAACACATCATTTGGGAGAAAAATGAAATATTCTATTGCCCAGGCCAATTTTTGTCAGGGTAAGGAAACAATTGAAGACCTGTTGCTGAGACTGTTCTGGCATGTTCAAATTACAGAGTTGGATTAATTTAATTATGTGCCAGGCTGCAGGTTACCTGTTGAGCTTCTAGGAAAGGAGGTAGCAAGCCAAAAATGCTTAAAAACCTCCATAAAACCTCACACATGATGAGGTTTAATGCCTCTAATCTGCTGTAGCTTTACATGAATAAATGCAGCAGGATTACTTATTAAAATATTCATATTTTCATGGTACTGTGTCTCTCTGTTTGTACAGAATATCTCTGTTTTTGGTTGTTTTCACTTAAAGGCTGAAAACAATTTAAGAATTGGAGGGTGGGATGGAAGAGATTAACTAGAATTTTTTAATATATAATAATTTTTTAAATATAGTAATTTTTCTTTGTGTATATATAATTTTTTTCTTTTCTAAGGAGCAGGTTATACCAAACACTCACATACCAGAAGGCAGTGTCATGGAGTCCCAAAATTTTCAAGAACTCCTTCAGCTTCCTCTCCTTTTCTGCCACGATGTGAATTGCCAAATAATACCCAAAGGGGGAGAATGCAATCACCAGGTAAATTAAAATGATTGCACGAGGGAAATTATCAATTTCCACCACGGCATCCTCTCCCATCACCACGGCTCTGGTCAGATCCAGCTGCTCCCAAACAGAATGGTTTGTCTTCAGCTGGAAGGAAGAGGAGGAAGAGTTATTTTGACATTTTTCCTGATTTTTCAGCCCCATCCCAACCACTCTCTGGCAGAGGGGAAATCTGGAAAGCCCAAAATCTTCCTGACCCCAAATTCCAGGCCAAAAGCAGGACTGGAAAACACCTGAATGCCTGGGGATAAAATGAGGAAATGTGGAATTTCTGTCACTTAAAGAGATGGAATTTG